TTTTTTTTTTTTTAAATACAACGTGCCTGTGAAACTTGGATGACTACGATGATCAATTCAGAAGCAAAGTGCGACCGATGTATCGCTATGCATATTGGCAGAAACTTTCTCTAGAGAAGTTTCTTTTTCAAGGTTAATGACTCAATCGAAAAAGAAGGTAAATTGTTTGCCTTACTAATCTCGTAACACTACTTTATAGTACGAAATCGTATTTAAATAATGTATATGTACTGTAGGATGTCTCGTGATTAATGACAGATGATCCTACGTGAAAAACAAGCCGATATGAAAGAATAAAATTTGTTCATCAAAGCCTTAGTTTTCGAGATAAACGAGTTTGGAAATTTATCCAGCATACTTGAATTTAGTTAATTCCTTACCGATCAGGCGCGAATAATTGACACGAGGATATTCCATGCGCAAAACTAAGTGGAAAGTGTAGAATAAAATTTTTTCGTTTAAAGCTTCATTTCCAAGAAAATATGACCTTGAATATGTTTCGTTAAAAATTTCCTCGGTACGAGTGTACGAAATAAATTTTTCAAACCCAATCTTCTTGAAAACGAAGCATCTGAAATGTAGAATAAAAATTTTACTTTCGTGTGTAAAATAACCTTCTATTAATTATTCTTAATTATTCCTATGTTTAGAATTAGCTAAATTCGGATATATTTGATAAATGTTCAAACTGGATTTTTTCGAAAACGAAGGCTTTAATGAACAAATTTTATCTATTCTTCTCGACTCATTTTTTTTTACGTAGAATCGTCTCCTCTATTCGGTTTATATCATTAATTACAGAACACTTTGTCGTGATATTGATCATTGATCTTTTCTAGGGAACTGAACTTTCGTCCATGTGTTAATCATTATTAACCATTTGATTATGACTTGACTGTCTGACGATTAACGTAGCAAACTTACAAGATTTCACAAAACATCTCTTTACCATGAGATCCGTGAGATGAGTCTTAAACTCATGCTGAGAAGAGCGAGGTCGTGACGAGGGGATTCGCGACGAAATCGTGTCACATTTCACGGAAATCATTTCAACATGAAATGACGTTTATTCTTGCACGCCTACAACGAACATCAATACATGTGGGATTTAAATTTACTGTTAATTCATGACAGCATTGTTAACTAGCCTTGAAAGACTAATATTTTATTATGATTAGTACATTCTAAAACACGATTGAAAATTGTATTGTTTCATATAAAATGGTTGTTAGAAATATAATGGTATTTATATTTCTAACTTCATTCATT